AGATGGAAGAAGGGAAGAGTATTGAGGAGAATATGGACTACTTCTTGAAGCTGATAGGATATCTTGCTAGTCTAAACATCACAATAAGTGATGAAGACCAGGCCATACAGCTGTTAACCAGTCTGCCGCCTCAATATGAAGCTCTCGTTCACACGTTGAAGTATGGTACTGGAAAAGACACCCTCACCGTGTTGGAAGTGATAATGTCAGCTTATGCTAAGGAGATTGAGCTAAAACAGAAAGGCTTATTGAGTAAAGGGAAGGCCAGTTCTGAAGGTCTGTACGTTGAGTCAAGAGGTAGATCAAATAAGAGGCAAGATAGAGGGAGTGGTCAGTCTTACAGAAACAGATCCAAATCTAAAGATGGGAAGTTCAAGTCTAAGCCTAGAGCTAATAAAGATGGCAAGACAGCGTGTTTCATTTGCGGGAAAGATGGACACTGGAAACGTGAGTGCCCCCAACGGAGTCACAAACCACAAGGCTCAAATGACTCAGCTAACTCAGTGTCAACTTCTAGACAACAGCCGTTGGTACTCACTGTGAGTATTAAGGATACTAAGAGTGAATGGGCTTGGATTCAGGGTGTTCTTTTCACATCACACCTCAGAGAGATGTATTGTTTGATTTCAGAGAATTTAATGGAGGAAAGGTGTTGATGGCTAACAATACTCAATGTGATGTTAAGGGAATTGGTAAAGTCAAGATTATAAATCCAGATGGTAATGAGGTTGTTCTCACAGAGGTGCGGTACATGCCAAACATGAGCAGAAACCTGGTCTCTTATGGTATGTTAGAAAAGGCAGGCTGTCACTACAAGGGTGAAGGATTCAAGGTTGATTTCTACAAAGGTGACATTAAGGTTCTCTCAGGAAACTACAAGGATGGATTATACTATCTACAAGGTGTTGTTTCTAAAGCTGAGGTTAACATTGGAAAAGCTGAGCCTAACATGACAGACGTATGGCATTCTAGACTTGGACATATGAGTGTCTCAAACATGAATGTGCTGATCAAGAAAGGGTATCTAAAGATCAAAGAAGTTGAAGACTTAAAGTTCTGCGAAAGTTGCGTGTTAGGAAAGTCTCACAAGCAGAGTTTTGGGACAGCTAAGCACACAACTAAGAACATTCTTGACTACGTTCACTCAGATTTATGGGGTTCACCGTCAACTCCTGAGAGCCTTGGAGGGTGCAAGTATTTCGTGAGATTTATTGATGACTACTCTAAGAAGGTTTGGGTCTATTTTCTAAGATCTAAGGATGAAGCATTTGAGAGATTCCGAGAATGGAAATTAGAAGTTGAGAACCAAACAGGAAAGAAGCTCAAGTGTTTGAGGACTGATAATGGGTTAGAGTTCTGTAATCTGAGGTTTGATCAGTTATGTAAGGAATCAGGGGTTAAGAGGCATCGAACGTGCACCTATACGCCTCAACAGAATGGAGTGTCTGAGCGCATGAACATGACTATCATGGACAAGGTGAGAAGTATGTTAGCAGAAACTGGTTTGGGACCTGAGTTTTGGGCAGAGGCCACGTCAACAGTTGTATACTTGATCAACAGGACTCCTGGATCAAGTATTAATTTTGAACTACCCGAAGAAAGGTGGACAGGGAATAAGGTTGATCTGTCGAACTTGAGAAGGTTTGGGTGTTCTGCATTTGTTCATCGGGTTCAAGAAAAGACGAGTCCAAGAGCAGTGAAAGGCGTGTTTGTTGGTTATCCGTTTGGGGTTAAAGGCTATAGAGTGTGGATTCGGGATGAAGGAAAGTGTACAACAAGTCAAAATGTTGTTTTCCATGAACATGAAGTCTACAATGATATCTTAAGTGACACAGTCTCTAACGAAAGGGCTACGGATTTGGTTAATGAGAACATCAAAGGGAAGGGCAAGCGTGTAAGCTTTAGTGATGATCTGATAAAAGGGCCTACAGCTAGTGGTTTTGAAATCGGAGAGACTTCAGGCTCAGGTGGAGATCATTCTTTTGAGTCAAGCTCAGAAAGCGAAGAAGGTGGACCAGATTCTGAGGGTGAGATTGAGTCTGAACAGGAAGATGGTGGTATTGTGGTCAGTTCAGGTAATAGTTCTCTGGATGGCTACATATTAGCTCATGACAGAAGCAGAAGAAAGAATGTGAGGCCTCCATCACGGTTTGATGATGCTAATCTAGTAGCATATGCACTAAGTGCTGCTGAAGAGTTAGAGATTGATGAACCTAAGACCTACGAAGAAGCTATGAAGAGTCGAGAAAGGAAGTTCTGGGATGCTGCTGCTAAAGAGGAGTTCTTGTATTTGGAGAAGAATAGAACTTGGGATTTGATTGAAAGACCTAAAGATCAGAAACCAGTGGGTTGCAGATGGATCTTCAAGCTTAAACCTGGTATTCCAGGAGTGGAAGACAGAAGATTCAAAGGAATAGTAGTGGCTAAGGGATATTCCCAGAAGGAAGGAGTTGATTACAACGAGATTTTCTCTCCAGTTGTAAAGCACATTGCAATTCGTCTTATTCTGTCACTAGTGGTGAATCGTGATTTCGACTTAGAGCAGATGGATGTTAAGACAGCATTTCTACATGGTGATTTAGAGGAAAGGATACTTATGGAGCAGCCTGAAGTTTTCGTGAAAAAAGGAGATGAGAATAAAGTCTGTCTTCTTAGGAAATCGCTATATGGTCTGAAACAATCCCCAAGGCAGTGGAATCTAAGGTTTGATGGGTTTATGAAAAAACTGAGGTTTATCAGAAGTGAGTTCGATTCATGTGTCTACATGAAGGATGTAAATTCCGATAAAGCCATCTACCTACTGTTACACGTAGATGACATGCTTATAGCGTCAGGAAGTAAGGCTGCTATTAAGGCTCTAAAGGAAAGTTTGAGCTCCGAGTTCGAGATGAAGGACTTAGGAGGTGCATCTAGGATTCTTGGTATGGATATTAATCGAGACAGACAGAAGGGTGTTCTAAAGCTATCACAGGCTAAATATCTTGAGAAGATTCTAAAGACTTTCGGGATGTTTGAAGCTAAGTCAGTGGTCACTCCTACAGCTTCACATTTCAGGTTGAAGAGTTTGCATCCTAAAGACAGAGCTGAGGAGTATGAGCATATGAAGGATGTGCCATATGCAAGTGTTGTTGGGAGCCTAATGTACGCTATGATAGGGTCAAGACCTGATCTAGGTTTTGCAGTGGGATTGATTAGCCGGTTCATGTCTCATCCGAGCAGAGATCATTGGGAGGCTGTTAAGTGGGTTCTAAGATACGTAGCAGGGGCCTATGAGAAGTGTTTAACATTTGAAAAAGGTACAGAGTTCAGAGTTGAGGGGTTTTCAGATTCTGACTATGCTACGGATCTTGATAAGAGAAGATCAGTCTCCGGTATTGTGTTTCAAGTTGGTGGTAATACAGTATCTTGGAAATCGGGATTACAGTCAGTGGTAGCTTTATCCACCACTGAAGCTGAGTTCATGGCTATGACTTTAGCAGTTAAAGAAGCAATTCGGTTGAAAGGGTTTATTACTGAGCTAGGCTATTCACAAGACAGTATAAGGATACACTGTGATTCTCAGAGTGCTATTGCCATATCTAAGAATGCAGTTCATCATGAAAGGACAAAGCATATGGATACTCAGTTCAACTTATCAGAGATATTGTTTCTAAAGGAGTGGTAAACCTAGCAAAGATTCATACATCTAAGAACCCGGCAGATTTTCTAACTAAGTGTGTACCTGGCACGAAGTTTCAGTTATGCTGTGAGGTTCTGAAGATTTGCTGAAAAGGATAGTGGCTCCGGGTAACTCCAGGTGGCGTCTCAGGTGTGCAGAAACAAGTAAGAAGGTGTTAGTATTTTTATCTAAAGATTTACAGATAAAGATAAACACAAGAAGAGTGGAGTTACCCGTAGAGAGAAAGTGAGATCCTGAGGTCTCTCGTCTTCGGTGATTGTCTGGATTAGACCAGAAAGCTTGTCGGCAGAAACGAGAGAGAAAGGACAGAAGAGCTTTAGCGTTTGTTTTCTCGATATGTCCGAAACAAAAGAGGTGGAGATTTGTGGATCTGGGCTTTTGGTTTACGAACATATTCCGTTTGGGCCAATTCTTGATGGGCCTGAGGTTTGGAGAATAAGTTGTTGAAGCCCGTTAGTCTCAAGTTGTAAGCTGGAGGTTCCGTTAGGTTGTTATAACGACTTTCCAGCTCAGCGTCTTCTTCCTACGATCAAATCTATTAACAAAGGAGATCAAGAAAGAGCAATCACAAGAGATAGAGAATCAGAGAAGGAGAAAGAGTTCTACCAGGCGTGGTTGATCGGAGACTGGAGTCGGCGATACTCCGGTGATTCCACGCATCGGTTCCGATTACCCGTGGTGTATTTCGGAGGTAACTTTGCTGTGTTTTCTCGTTGTAGAGATTGCCGTTTACCGGAACTTGTGTAACTCTGAATCTAGTGATTGTTGAGGGCGAAGCTCCCTCCCCGGTGAGTAGGAAACGAACACCGGGTTACCAAAGCTTTGTGTGCTCCGTATCGTTTTGGTTAACCTGAAAATCACATACTCAAACGTATAAGAACTTGAATCGTAAAAGAATAAATCAACTAAGCAGTCAAGAATATAAAGAAATCGATCAACACTATCATTAACTTTATTTTTTGTTATATCGTATATGTTAATCCGGTTTTCCGACTTCAACACACATAACTTACGGAAATGTCCTAGGGTACAGGGAGCCGAGTCAGAAAATGCAACCCCAGACATCGATTTTATCCCGTCGCCGGCGACTCAGGGTTCTGGTTATACAAAATTTTGCATTTTTAGACTCGGCTCTTAATGGCCGTCCGATTTTTTTCTATTGCTATCTACCATTGGATGGATATAAGACGAGTTCATTTAGATTTAAAATTTTATAATAACGCCACGTCACCATCCTAAGAACTGTCCAGAAACAAAAAAATGGAGTCAAAAAGATGATCGAACTCTCCAGAAACTCATCTCCTATATAAACACCCCTCCTCTAAAACACACTTCATTGTTCGCATCTTCAAGAAACTCATCATCATCTCTGAGATATCAAGTTGAAACCAACAAGCGACGATGCCGAGCAGATACCCAGGAGCCGTGACGCAAGACTGGGAGCCAGTGGTGCTCCACAAAACCAAGCCAAAGAGCCAAGACCTCCGTGATCCCAAGGCGGTTAACGCGGCTCTCAGAAGCGGCTTAGCTGTTCAGACGGTAAAGAAATTCGACGCCGGTTCGAACAAGAAGGGGAAATCGACGGCGGTGCCGGTGATCAACACGAAGAAGCTGGAGGAAGAGACGGAACCGTCGGCGATGGATAGGGTGAAAGCGGAGGTGAGGCTAGCGATACAGAAAGCTCGGTTGGAGAAGAAGATGTCACAAGCGGATCTAGCGAAACAGATCAACGAGCGGACACAGGTGGTTCAAGAATACGAAAACGGGAAAGCTGTTCCTAACCAAGCCGTGCTTGCCAAGATGGAAAAGGTTCTAGGTGTTAAACTCAGGGGTAAACATGTTAAATAATTCAAAAACGATGCCGTATCTGGTTTCTTTTATTTCTTGGATGCACATCTAATTTCGTTTTCTCTCATCTTGTGAAAATAAATAAAAACGCTTTTTCGTACTTAAACGACATCGCAAACGATAGTTAAATTTAAAAAGAAATGGGTTTGTTCTGTTTGATTTACTTGAATTTCTTCATACATGAGTCATACATGTTCAAATATTTCTTCTTTGTATGTGACAAAATGAAAAAGCCCACGCTATTTAAAACAAAGTGTTTTTAGCGACTGGGGAGGTCACTTGGTCTTATAGAACTATGGGTTTATGATTCAGAACTTATTGGTTATCAGATGGATTTAAAACGAATCAAGAAATGTGTAAAGTTACTGACTTCCGGGAGTATAGTCGGTCAGATGTAGTAGCATACTTTGTTTCTAAGAGGAAGTCCAAACTAGACACAATTAGTACTTGTAACATGATTGGATTTTCTTAGTTACATTGAAAACAACAATACATGTTTGAATGTTTTTAGTTACATTTAAAACATCGATACGTAACCAGAAAGAATGCTCAAACAATTTGATAAGTAAGAGTTTAAAGCTTTATTTCAAATTTGCTACCGTTTAAGAGACGAAACCATTTACGAAACAGTGGAACATATATCTTACTGAAACCACACTGATAACGATAGAAAATAAAAGGTGTAACGATCTCGTGGCAACCGTGCTCATTTTAATATATACAAAGGATGAGAAAGAGAGATGAGCTGAATGGCAGAGAATATTTTGGGTATTACATTGACCCGTTCAGTTGACAGTAGTCTTAGACCAATATTATCAATGAGACTTTTCCTAAGGTTCTTAGGATTGTTTATTGTTATTTTTAACTTAAGAGACATTGTTAAGAGACTTCACTAAAAATGAAGATTATTGGTGGGACATTGTTAAGAGACTTCACTAAAAATGAAGATTATTGGTGGGACATTTGCTTGGTTCTTAGATTATAATTTTTTTTTTAATAATTAGCATATAAAATGGTGTTGAAAAGAAAACATATAACAATTTAAATTTTATACATAATAAGAGAAACAAATTTATTCATTTAATAGAAAATTACAAAACATTATATTACATTCCATACTTAAAAAAAAAAAACATAAAAACTTCATAAATAAAAGCATACAAACTTCATAAATAAAAGCAAACACACATTTTATTGAAATCATAGAAACTTAAAAATCATATGTTATTTGGAAGATATCCAAATTTATCTCATATATTTTCAATCAAATCGTTTTTTAATTGTTCATGGGCTTGTCTATTCCGAACGCTGATTCGACGATCAATTGTATTTCCGAGATTCGAAGGCATAGTGACGGAAAACGTACCCACATCTTCGCTTTCTTGAAATTCAAAAACGTCATACTGAGTGTACGAATATCGTTAATCTGCGACAATCATATTATGGAGTATGATGCATGCTCTCATGATATTTGATATTTTTTCTTTATCCCATAACTTAGATGGATTTTTCACAACGGCAAATCTAGCTTGCAAGACACCAAATGCACGCTCAACATCTTTTCGAACAGATTCTTGTGTTTTAGCAAATAATGAAGGTTTCTCACCTTGTGGTAGTCAGATAGATTGAATGAAAGTCGCCCATTTTGGATATATACCATCTGTGAGATAATAAGCCAAATTGTACTCCCTTCCGTTCACATAGAAGTTAACTTCTGGCGCGATTCTGTTAATAATATCATCAAAAACAGGGGATCGATCAAGAATATTAAGATCGTCCATAGTACCTGGAGCTCCAAAAAATGCGTGCCATATCCATAGGTCATAAGAAGCTACCGCCTCCAATACAATTGTCGGTTTTCCGGTTCCTCGTGAATACATTCCTTTCCAAGCCGTGGGGCAATTCTTCCACTCCCAATGCATACAGTCGATGCTTCCAATCATCCCAGGGAACCCACGTTGTTCTCCGATATAGAGTAGTCTTTCCAAATCCTCCTGTGTGGGACGTCAAAGGTATTCATCGCCATACGCACTAATTATACCCGCGGTAAATTTGTGCAAACATTTTCGAGCGGTTGTTTCAGCAAGTCGGATATATTCGTCAACTGTATCAGCTCCACCACCATATGCCAATTGTCGAATTGCTGCAGTACATTTTTGTAGGGGTAATAGACCAGGCCGTCCTGTTGCATCTTCTCTTTGTTGAAAATACGGTTCTTCCGTGGACATACGATTCACAATACGCAGGAACAACGGTTTGTTCATTCGAAACCGTCACCGGAATAGTTGGGGTGTGTATGTTGGAGTCTCGCTAAAGTAGTCATCCCATAGCATCTGGTGGCCTTCTTCTCAGTTTCTCTCAATAAAAATACGTGGTTTTCGAACTTTTGGTTCTGGAATAGGATCATCATTTTCAGAAAAATCATCGAAAAGGGAATCAAATACATCATCTCTATGGTAGTGAAAATGAGAAGAAGATGCCATTGAGAGTTTTTAAAAAAAAAAAATAGAATCGGTGAAAAGAGGAGAAGATTTAATGGAAGAGACGAGAAGTTGATTTTATGCAAGAGAGGAGGAGTTGTTTTATAAGACTGAGCCAAAGGTATCTCGTGATACATGTCACAAGCATAATAGCATTTTGCTCTTGTGATGGTTTTTTGGTTTTGGTAGTACACATTGTCACGAGCAAAATAGAAGTTTCTCACGAGCATACTAAATATTACAATCCATGTCAAGAGATAAACATACACATTACAATCCTTGCCCAAAAAAAAAAAAACAACATTGTCAAAAACGATCAACTAAAACAATTAAAACAACAACACCAGCACCCCTACATCACTGAAAAACGATCACCACACCAAGTACAACTAAAACAATGAGCATCACCGTAATGAAAACTTCGAACCCATTGTGAAAACAAGATTTCTTCTTTCCTAATTCACTAACCAACTTCTCAAGCCTAATCACCTTCTCCTCCGTCTCAATGTCGCTCATAGAGAAAAGACTATCTACCTTTTGCTCCAACTGAAGTATGTGTTTATTCTTGGCCCTCATTTCCTCCATGACCGCGACATCCCACCATTTCCAGATATGGCATTCACCATCATCAACATGCTCGCATGTGTAGAATCTTCTTCCTGGATCGTTTCTTGTGTAGGATGTAGCTATAAGAGGCTGACCACCACAGTAACACGCCTGAGGGAAACCAAACTCAACCTCCGGTTGCGGAGGGTACCGAGCCGTGTCACCGTTGTTGAAGCTCAACTCAGCTTGGTCCCGACGAATAAGCTGTTCCGTCTCACTGTACCCACTGTCATCACCACCATACACCTATGAGTCTGAAGGCTGGCTGTAGCTATATCGACCCATTTAAAATTAACCTGCAAAAAAATGTTACAACAATGTGAGTAAGTTGTTTAATTAAACGTGATAATGTCAAAAAATAAAGCAGGAAAATAAAGCACAAAAAGAGAGAAATTGAAACAACATTTTTCCATAAATATAAAGCTCAAACCGGAAATACATAAATGCATTAATTTAAAAGTACGGAACAGAGAACATGTAATTTAGAAAGCAACAACCAGAAAGCAACAACCAGAGATACATAAATTTAAAGACATTTTCAGATAATGGCAAGTAGCTTATTCTTGACAACTTCCTCAGCCTCAGTTAGTGGTTCTTTCTTTGCTAGGAGTGTGTCTAGAATAGCAAGTTTTGAAAGTTTCTCTTGCATCATAAGACTTTCTTTCTTCAATTCCCAAGCCGTGGTATACTCAGCAACAGACTTTCCTTTCCCATTATTCCTTTTAACTTTTGCAGCCTTGATACCTTCAGGACGGACGTCATGATCACCAACCGTGGTGCTTGAAGTTTGTGAACATGCCTCTCCAGACTTACGCTTTGAACTACCACTTGGTTTAGGAGTGTTAAGGCTGAGCCATTTTTGCTCAAACCTTAACACACACCAAGCATGCTCGAGATTGAATTTCGTGTTGTGATCAGCAAAAAAAATTTCATGAGCCACCTTGAGAACATCATTGTCGTGCTGACCAGAACCATTCTTTCTCTCTGCTGCCGCATATGCACCACAGAATTTGTTGGTGTAGTCATTGATCTTGTGCCACCTCTGCTTACAATGGAGATGCTCTCTTGGACCACCATTCTCTTGAGCATGTGGACTTAAAGCATAACACTCAGCTACTCTTTTCCAAAACGTCCCTGATTTTTGATCATTACCAATAATAACATCTTTAGATGTGTTTAGCCACACACTTATCAAGACCTCATCATCAGCCGGAGTCCATTTCCTCCTCTCTTTCGAGGCAACTGGTGGGTCTTCACGAACATGTGGAGGGTTGGGTTCCACAGGTGGAGGGTTGGGTGGCTGTGAACTAAAAGAAGGCATCTCGGTTGCTCCGAAGTTTAGAGTAGGAGGCTGTTAAAAGGAGGCATCTCATAGCGAAAGTTCTGGTTGTGGAGAAGGCCGACATAGCTAGGAGATTGAGAATATGGATTCAATGTATTCCTTGAATCCATTTCGATTAGAAGAACGAGAAAAGAGATAAAGAGAAAAAAGAGAGAAAAAGATTGATATGAAAGCTTGAATGAAAGCTTGAATGAAAGGTTCGTGGGGTTTAATAGGTGAACAAGGAAGTTATAATAAGTGTAAAACGTGTAAATACCTAACCACCTTCTACACACTATAGAAGCTTGTTGGGGGTTTGATAGGTCAAAAAGGAAGATGTAATAACTATCAAACATAAAGAACTAACCATAAACTACTCAAGTCTAATCAGAACTTATTACAAGCGAAAAGTAATCAAGTAACTAAATTTCAATTGGTTACAAACATCTTCTAACTAAAAACCAAACTAACTAGAACAATGACTACAACGTTTTTAAAATTATCTTTATCGATCATCTTCTAACTAAAAACCAAACTAACTAAAACACTTATTAGGTCACAATTCGCAGAATGGTTACTCTTAAACAACTCAAGTCGATAACAACAAGTTTCTAATAATCACCAGTACTCATCAGGAAGAGGAATCCAAAACATTGCCTTCGTATAACTAAAGTAAAGCTACACTAAGTTTCAATTACATTAACTCAGAAACAAACCAGACATACAATCCGTCACTTACCAAGCAAACAATCAATCGCAGAATATAAAATTAATCGAACGAAGAATATTCATCAATAGAACAAATACTTCAGAAACAAACCAATCAAACACAGAGAGATAGATATAAGTCATTCATCTAGATCGAAAACGGAGGGCAGAGAAAGAAGACATACTTGTGTTGATTGAGCAAGTATAGAAGTCGGGGCCCAAATTGAGACCGATACTCGACAAACCTTGATCAAACACCAAGCATGCAAAAAAAGAATCAAACAAAATAGGTGAAAATTATACCAGAGAATACACGATAGAAATTAGGTCAGAGAACGAACCTGGTGTAGATTTGATGCGG